TAGGTGGAATCTCCATATAAATTTCTTCTTCAAGATCACCATGTAGAAAAGCATTTTTTACATCATATTGTAACATGTCCCATCCATGATTTACATCAAGAGATAGAAGTATTCGTACTGTGTTCATCTTGGCAACGGGCGCAAAGGTTTCAAGATAATCAACTTCATATGTTTGAGTATATCCCTTAGCAACCAACCGTGCTTTGTACCTCTCAAGTGTTCCATCTGCTTTATACTTTACAGTATATATCCATCAACATCCTACAGCTTTTTTATCTTTAGGCATAGTAACCAACTACCATGTTTTATTTTTTTCTAAAGCCTACATTTCAAGATTCATTGCTTGCCTCCATTCTTCATGTTGTATTGCCTCCATATATGTTTTTGGAATATTTACCTTGAGTAAGGTTAACCATAAAACTTCTGTACTGACTTGAGAGTTTGTCATATGATACAAAGTGAGACAATGGATACTAAGTACATGTCCGTTTTCCCTTCCTTAAAGCAATCGGCAAATCCATGTCTAACTCATCATTAGCAAACATTGTAATGTCTGACTCATCATTAGTAGATACTATAATGTTTGATTCATCACTGATTATTTTCTCGTCAATTTCAGTTCCAGTGATATGTTTAGACTCTTGGACTTGCTTATCTTTTTCAGTGCTCCTTCTTGAATAAACCTGTAATGGTATAGTAGTATAAGGGTTAGATGGCCCTGGAGAGGTGTCTAACGGTGGTAGTAAAGGATTTGATATAGGAAATGTGAGGTTGGGAATGGGCAAATCCTTATCTTCCAAGGATAGTTCCTCCCCCTGAAGATAAGGTGAGGTAAAGAAGCTGGTGTCTTCATAAAAGGTAACATCAGCAGAGATGAAGAACCTTTTTGAAGGAGTCAAGTTATTTGTTGTCCGAAAATCAGGATAAAATTTTGATAGGATATTCATAGGAGTTTTCTGGTCTAGAGTAGCAGATGGTAACCTATTGATTAAATAAATGACTGTTAACACAGCTTCCTCATAAGGATTTAAGAACATTTCTTTGAAAAAGAATGGCATGTGTCACAGAAAGGATGTGACCAATTTTTCTTTCGGCCACCTCATTCTGTTGAGGAGTGTCCACGTAAGACGACTCATGGATGACTCCATTTTTTTGAAAGAAGGATGTTAAGTTTTGATTGAAGTAATCTCGAGCATTGTCAGAGCAGAATCGTTTGGGTTTGATTCCGAATTGGTTTTCTATCAAATGAAAGAATGTTTGAATGGTAGAACCAACATCAGATTTTTGTTTTAAAAGATAAACCCATAAGACTCGAGTACAGTCATCAATGAACACAATAAACCAGCGAAATTTGGAAACATTCGGTACATTGGAAGGACCCCAAACATCAGTATGTATAAGAGAGAAAGGAACTGATATTCGTTTATTATTACTAGGGAAGAGTACACACTTGTATTTAGCGAATTCAAAAACTTCACATTGAATTGACTCAGGATTAAGATTTTGGAATAAATCGGGAAACAATATTTTAAGAGTTTGAAATGAAGGATGTCCTAGTCTATAATGGTTCAACAAAAGCTTACTTGAAGGATGATGAGTTTGTGAGGTGAAGGAGATTGGAACACTGTTCTGACCGACAGGTTCATTAAGATAATAAAGTCCATCTTTTTCATTAGCAAGTCCAATCATCTTCTCATTGCCCTGGTCCTGTAAAATACAAGGAGAATCAGAAAAAATTACTCTGCATCCTAAATCTTTGATCAAATTCTTTACCGAGATCAAATTAACAGTTAAACGTGGTATATGAAGCACATTCTTTAAAGTAATGTTTGAATTTATCTTGATGTCTCCTTGACCAGCCACTACCAAGGTACCATCTGCTGTAGAAATTCTCTTATTGCTCGGACAAATACTATAAGAAATAAAATGGCAGCTACTATTCGTCATATGGTCTGTTGCACCAGAATCAATAATCCAGGTACAACGTTTAGGCTGAGAAGTTGTACTTGTCAAAGTTACCGAATCTGTACCTTGACTAGGAGCATTATCAAAAGTTTTTAAGAAGCTCCTTAATTGTTTGATCTCATGCATGTCCAACTTTTTTGTAATTTGTTTTGACATTGATACCAAGACTAAACAGCAACTAAAAAAAAAAAGGAGATCCATGCACAAAACTGATAATCAGCACTGAA